TTCTCCCCCCTTTACTCAGTTCCCATGGAGACATAACCACAAAGCATCGGCCACATTTCAGGTTATTTGCCGCATTATTTGCCTCATCAATCATCAGTTTTATTCATTGTATTTCTTTTCATCTACCCCCAGTCCCAAGAGAGGGAAAGAGACATCGGAAGGTAATATTTCTTTTCCCCCTTTTTAAACAGATATAAATAAAACAAGTTCGCCGATACTTTCATTCCCTTAAAGCGGCACCCGCGCACAAACCCCACCCGCACTAGCCGCCGTCAGCGCCATTCCTACGATGATGGCAATGATAATTGTTCGCATGCTTTTAATTCTTCACCCTCCTTTCAGAAGTGGGGTGAAGGGCACACAGTAAAATACTAACATGTAGAGAACTCATTGTTGTTGAAGTCGCCTCACAGCGTCGAGAGGGAACGGGGCAGCGTGTTTACCGGACCATGTGCGTAAGGACCACCCCACTACCATTGCTATCGTATTTTATCCTTTTTTGTTGTGTTGTTAAATATGTTTCCTTCCACCCCCGTTTTATTCACCCGTCATCCACGCCCCCACCCGCATCTGTTGCTGCGCTCCACACGTGGACGATTGTGGTGTGTTGGTTTGTCTTTCTTCTGTATCTCGGTTTGCCTCTTCCTTCCTCTATATATCTGTACCTCTCATGGCCTCGCACACACACACCCCTCCCGCACTGCGCCTACGTGTGTGCCATTCGTTCGTCGCATGGCGCCGTCACGCACACACATGCACACGCACAGAGAGGGGGAGAGAGAGCGAGGCGGGGGACGCCTCCACGGCAAGGTGCAGCAAAAGGCAGGCTGTTGGGAGACGCTGACGGTGGGGGGAGGAGGGAAGGAAGGCCGTTCCACAAATGTTTGTCTCCTCGTTACACATTTTCCTTTCCCTCTTCTTTTTTTCCTTTTGCCTCATACCTTCTGTTTTTGTTTATTTTTCTCATTTTTTTCCAAGACGTTTTCTTCTTCATGCCTTACCGTTTTACGGCCTCCCCCCTTGCCGCTCTTCACCCACGCAGAGCTAAGCACCCCGTCGCTGCCGTCGCGCAGCCGGGCACAGCCTCACAACTTATTCTACATCCCACTCGTTTTCGTTTCTTTTCCAGCTCCTACCCACGAAGGCCGACGCTCACTGGATAAACCGCATAAGAATGCCGCCGAGCTGCGACTCGAAGACGGGCGCAAAGACGACGGAGATGATGGCCATCAGTTTGATCAAAATGTTCAGCGCAGGCCCGGAGGTGTCCTTCAGCGGGTCGCCAACGGTGTCGCCAATGACGGCGGCCGCGTGCTGCGGCGAACCCTTCCCCTTGTTCTTGTCGCGCAGCCCCCCCTTCTCGATGTACTTCTTCGCATTGTCCCACGCCCCGCCGGTGGTGGAGGCGGAGATGGCCACCTGCACGCCGGAGACGGTGGCACCGGGGAGCAGCCCCGCAAGGGTGTAGGGGCCAAACAGCACGCCAATCACAATGGGCGTCAGCATGACAAGGCAGGCAGGGGGTACCATTTGCTGCAGCGCCGCCTGCGTGGCAATGGAGACGCAGCTCTCGTAGTCCGGCTCCTCCATGCCCTCCGCCACGGCCGGGTTTTGGAACTGGCGGCGGATCTCGTTCACCATTTCCATCGCAGCCAAGCCAACCGACTTCATCGTGAACGCAGAGAATAAATACGGCAACATTGCGCCAAGGAGCAGGCCGGTCATCACACGTGCGTCAAGGATGTTGATGGTGTGAATACCCACACGAGAGACAAAGGCAGCGTAGAGGGCGAGGGACACAAACGCGGCGGACGCAATGGCAAAGCCCTTCCCAATGGCGGCTGTGGTGTTGCCTGCGGCATCGAGCGCGTCGGTGATCTCACGGATTTCGTGGCCCATGTGCGACATCTCCACAATGCCACCGGCGTTGTCGGAGATGGGCCCATACGCATCAATGGTGAGGGCAATGGACATGGTGGAAAGAATACCCAGGGCAGCAAGGGCAAAGCCGTACAAGTCCGCCATGTGGTACGAGGTGTAGATTGTCACGGCCATGGTTACAATGGGCGGCACCACCGAGACGTAGCCGAGGGCCAGGCCATAGATAATGTTCGTGGCAGCACCCGTCTCACAGGCCTCCGCGAGCTCCTGCACGGGGCGGTAGGCATTGGACGTGTAATACTCCGTCGTGTACCCAATAATCAGGCCGGACCACAGGCCGCACAGCACGCACACAAGCGCGCGCCACTTCGTCGTATGCGTGGCGGCAATTGTGAATTCGTCCGGAAGTGCGAAGTCAGTCAGGAACGTGAGCACCACGGTGGCAGCGACGGTGGAGAGAAGTAGCTGGTGCTTCAGGGTGGGCTCAATGTCCTCCGCCCGCTGCACACCACCGCCTCTGGCCGCAACCAAAGCACTGCACATGCAGACAAGGATGCCCACCGCCGTGATGAGGAGCGGGTACATCATGTACGTAAAATCGCCCGACAGCTCCAGGGAGCCGGCGGCAATTACAAGCGCCGCACACGAGGCCTCGCCAAAGCTCCCAAAGAGGTCTGAGCCCATCCCCGCAATGTCACCCACATTGTCCCCAATGCAGTCCGCAATCACGCCAGGGTTGCGTGCGTCGTCTTCGGGGATGTTCTTCTCCACCTTCCCAACGAGGTCCGCGCCGACGTCAGCGGCTTTGGTGTAAATCCCGCCGCCAACACGACCAAAACACGCCACGGCCGACCCGCCAAGACCAAAGGCGGCCACGCACTCGTATAACTCCTGCACATTCTCCGCCGCGCCACCGAAGTACGCCTCCACCACCTTCACCGTGACGAAGAGGGAGAAGAGTCCGGCCGAGGTCAGTGCAAACCCCATCGTGATGCCGCCCCGGAAGGCCGTCTGGAACGCCAGGGCGTAGCCGGCCGATTGGTCGCCGTCATCGCACCCCTGTGTCGCCATGACGGCCGTACGGGCGTTGGTGTACACCGCAATGCGCATGCCGATCCAGCCTGCAAAGACGGACGTCATGGAACCGGCAAAAAAGGCAAACAGCGACAGCGCAGCGTTTACCCACGGCGCCGCCGCCGGCTTGCTGCCGTCCTGCGGCGACGACAACGCGATGCCGAGGAGGAAGTAGATGAGGGAGCCAAAGGCCAGCATGAAAACCCCCATGTAACGATACTCCGCAAAGAGAAACGCGGTGGCGCCCTCCGACACACGCTTGTTGATCACGTACACGTTGCGCATCACCTCATCTGTCAGGTGTGCGTTGCGGATGCCCTGGTCCTTTCCGGGCGTGATGCGGATTTCAGAGACGACATACCACCAGTACATGGCAAACGAAAAACCCAAGGCGGAGGCTACCACAATAATTCCAGTTGTGAAGCTCGTGCCCATAAGAGAGGTTTCGCTTACCTTGGGGTGAGTGCCCCCCTTGTCACTGGAGGTGTTGGCGAAGGCGACGCTCTTGAACGCGATAGTGCCGCCGGCAGGCTTTGCCGACACCGTCTCCTTCTCCTTCGGCTTCACCGACGCCGCGGACACGGCGGCGGCGAGGACGCACGCCAGCACGACTGCCACGATGGCCCGCCGCATTTCTCTCATCTCACCTTCGCTTCACCTCGCAGCGATCACAGAGCTGGTGGGTGCCGCGTGTGTTGTGTGCCCTTACTCAACCCCTCGCAGACGCCAAACGCAACCAATAGCCGCAGTAAAATTTAATGCTAAGCTTTTATCTATGCACCTCAATGATTCTTTTCCTTTTGCGCATCGCCCCACACACACCGGGAGCGCGGGGATCGCCACGACGCACGGAAACAGCCATCGGAGGGTGGCAGAAGAGAAAAAAGCGGATAAGCAGTCATGCGCCACCAGAACACGCGTTTCAGCGTCCCCCACGTACGCAGAAAACGAAGAGGCGGAAACAAACACAACAGAAAGCCAAAAACAAAACAAAATGGTATGTGGGGGGAGAAGTAACCTCACGCACACAAGCACAACAGCCCCATCCGGATGGGGCCAACGCGCACATGGCAGCACCCACCGCCCCCGCTCCTCCCTCCCCTTGCCCGCGGCTGCGAGCAACCACGCGGGTGAATGTAACACAGCGGGCACAGCGAAAGGGGCGGGGTGGACTGCAAAAGCAAAAAAAAAAAACAAAAAAAGACTTCAATAAAAATTTAACAGACGATTCAAGCACACAAACACAAACCAATTTTTTTCCGTCACCGCAGCCGCGGGTGGCCCCTCACATCTCGCTCAGGTC